AAAAAAAAAAAAACTGAGATCAAGGATACACATATGGGAACATTTTGTGGTCTTAATAAATTAATTTTATAAATCAGATTGAAAGAATGGGACAATTATCTCATGTTTGAAGTTATATACAAGGAAACTGCAACAAGATATGAGGATATTTAATCACAGTAGAAACTGTCCAATGATTTAATGGGATGGTTTGCCCATCATCCAAAGAAAAGGTATTCGTAGACACTGAGTGACCAAATAAAGGGAATGTTGGACAGCGAGCTGCAGCAATACATGGATGGTTGAATTAAAAATTTCCCAGTTTATTTTTAATACTGAAAGGCTGTGCTGATCATTCCTTCTTCTCATGAGATTCCTTTCACCAACATTGACCCCACTGATCGTACAAGCCTCTGAGAATTTATTTTTCCCTGCAGCTGGGTATTTTTGATTTCTCAGTAACAATATTCATAACTTCGCTGCCTTCTTGCTTAATAAATACTCTATTCTTTCTCTTGCTGGTTAATTAACATGTCTAATGGAATTATGTTGCAGCTGGGGCCACCAAATTCTACTTGATGCCCTTGTGATTACAATAACTATTTTATTATTGCATCAATTTTCAAATATACTAAATCTACTTGGAATGAACACTTGATCCCAGAAAAGAACACTGCCTCAGTAGAATGTCTGGATTTGACAGACCTGCTAGACTAGTCCATTTATACTGAACATAAAGATATTATGCCAAACAAACAAATAAGCAAAAGTCATGTAACTGTGTTTTACTGATCTCAGGAGAATGAAGTTTCAAATTCTCCATCTTCAACTTCTTCTTTCATTTATTTACCAACTCTCTCAGCCAGGAAATTAGGGTTTCTATCTATCCTAAATCTTTCACCCTCTTATATAAACTCATTTCCTCTCCACAAAATGAGAAACAGAAGTTAATAAGGTCGTATCAACCGCACCGATCATGTACAATGCTGGTCATAACGATGGACTCCAACAAGTATCATAAGACAGGTTGCCAGCTACTCTTGCTGTGCTGAAAACACAGTATTTTCATAATAAAAACACGCCCTGGCTCAAATAAAAGATGTTATCAGCCACATATTTCCATGTATTGGATGGCAACAGTTATATGAAAGTGAAATACTTTTTGTACAGATCAATAATACTCGACAAACTATTTTCACATCATTTTTTGCTTCTTACTACAGTGTGGCACTGGTTTTTGGTATTTGCTGAACAGATGATACGATAGTAATGTACCAGTGAAAACATGAAATTGATTTTTTTAACTGCTGTAATGTAAGATGATTATAAATTATTTCACACCTTTCAAGTTTACAACTTTATCTTAACGTGAATTTTTCAGGACTGCTAAAATCTGCAACTATTTAATTGATTCTGAATTTCTCTGAACAATTCAATTATGAATTACCGCATTGAGATAGAATGTGTTATATGACAATGATGATCTTGATATAATAATTACAACTTCATCTTTGCATTTACTTCAGCTTACGCGTTAATAGTTTGCATGGCTGAGGGAAGCAAGATCTTCCTCTCAGATTTTAAAAAAAGGTAAAACTGTGATTTAAAATAAAAATACATGCCACAACTGAAGCAAAAATTAAAGATCATGACTCCTATAGAAACAAATCCTTTTTATTATCCCCAGGACTATGGTAGCATTCCCATTTTAGCCGGCCGAGGTTCAAATTAGACAGCTGCCTGGGTGACAGAAACCCTGAGGCCTATGAGAATCCTGAGCACAAAGGTGATTGTTTCAGTTATTTCCCTTGAATGACTTATCCAGCCTTGAACTCAGCATGGGGCAATGGCCTTGGGTGTGTGATGCATGCGGTCATGTAATTATGCATTTAAGTATA